GGGTTGGCCCACGGGTCCCGGCCCACTTTGACAGCTCTAATATCCGTGCATTTGTACATGTCACTATCATTTTTATATATGTTAAGAATATATTCTTTTTATAAATTATTATTTATATTAAGATAACATAATTAAATATTTGAATTTTTTCAAAAATATAAAAAAAATATTCAAATTGAATATAGTCTTATGTATATTAATTTTGTTTTAAATTATAAGACCCTTTCAACTAAATTATATCCTTAAAAAAATTAGTTAATTTAGTTAAAAATATTAAATTTCTCAATAATTTAAACTACTTTTTAATAACTTTATCTTTTTTTAACTCAATCATTTTTCACCTAATTAATTAATATTTATAATTTTAAAATATGAAATAATAATTGTATTTAATCATTTTAAATTCATGTTGTGAATAAAAATTTATTATATTTATAATATTAATAGATAGTATTTTTGAATATTTCATATGGATTAATAAAAAAATATTAAAAGTTGATGTGACAAAATATCACGTGTCTCATCACTCATGCCATCTCATCCCAATCAATAAAGTGAGTTAAAAATCTATTCCACTTCATTTGATAATAAAAAAAGAGTTATATGTATATAATATTTATTAAAAATAAAATAAATAAATAAATATTTTTTTAGTAATAAATAATTTAGACACAATAAATGAAATAAAAAACAAGCATTATAAAAATGAAAATTTTAAAATCATTAGTTGAACAAATAAGATTTTTTTTATCTGACTTAAAAAAATTTAAAATAACTATAAATTTCAATTCTTAGCTTAAGAATCAATTTTCAATAGAATTTTCTTTTTACAAATTTAATATTCTTCAAACACAAAACATTAACAACATGTTAAAATTTTAGATCATATATTGTTAATATTTTATATCACTATAGTCTATATAAAACTCATCTGACTTCAACTATATTGTAAATAAAAATTTATTATATTTATAAACAATATTTTGAAGATTTTTTTATCGATTAATAAAAAGTTATTGGAAGTTAGAGAAAAAAATATCTTATTTCATTTCGCTAAGTTAAATGAGTTTGAAAATTTAACTCATTTAATTTAGTAATTAAAAAAGTTATATATATATACATATATATATATATTACAAATTAATAAATAAACTTAACTTTGTAGTATTATTAATTTAGACACAATAAAATAGAATACAAAAATTTAAGCATTATAAAAATATAATTTTCAATTTTTAGCTTAAAAATAACTCATTTTTTAGAAGAATTTTTTTTTACAAGTTTAATATTTCTCAAATACATAAAGATTTAATAACATGTGAAAAATTTAGACTAAGTAAAATTTATCACCATTATTTTAATTTATAGTATATATAAAACTCATCTAGCTTTTACAACTATATTGTAAACAAAAATTTATTACATTTATATTATTATAAATAATATTTTGAAGATTTTATATGCATTAATATAGAATAACAATTTTTTTTATAAATATAATTTATACAGTGTCTTGAAGTTAATAAGTAAAAACTAATATATTTTTGCGTGACTCCCACTTGTCAAGAATTATTTTAATATAGGGTAGAGATTGTTTGATACACTTTTCAAAAATAGTTTACAGCATGTTGAAATTTAGGGTTCTTAAAAACCATCATACTCATAGTGCCCACTCATGAACCACACCATAGTTGAAAAATCTGTAGCGTATGAATATTAGGATTTCTGTTCATATATATACATAAACTTTCGAATTTCGATGCCAAGCTGGATGGACTTGAAGAAACACGTTACTAATTAATTGTATTATATCATCTAGTGAATCTTGAAAGTTTTGAAACCAAATATATCTCTCAAGTTTATTTTTCATCTCCAAAACAACATTCAAAATAGATTTACCATGCTCTTTTCTACTTTTAATTTTCTTCTTAAAAATAGATTTCAAATTTGATTTACAATTTTTTTTTCCTGTTGAAGAACTATAAAATCGTGCATTAAACAAATAAATACAAGTAAGTAACTAGATTTTAGCGATACACATTTGACAAATATATTAACTTTCATAGGTAGTAAAAAAGACAAAAGTCCAAATTATTAAATTCATAAAAACTTGAATTTATAATTGTTTAATTTAATTATAGTATTAAATAAATATATAAAAGAAATTTAAATTTTTTTTAAATTGCAATACAAAAATTTATAAATAAAAAAATAGCATGTAACAAAACAATTGACAATTTGAATTTAGATAATGATAAGAGTAGTTAGAGGTTGATTTCATTAATTTTCTTCGTGTAAATTCTCTCCAATTTTCATTCATTGTTGTAATTATACAATTAATTCAACATACCACAATTATATTTTAACATAATTATTTAAGCAAGAAATTTTAGGTTATTTAAGAGAAATCTCAATTCATTGGTAACTTTTGTTAAACAATTATGCATTAAGTTCAAGGACCAAAAGTCGACTGATAATATTTATTCCAATTCTAAAAGAGTTTTCCAACCTCAGTTAAAATTATAAAATCATAAATTGACCAAAGTACACATTAAGTACAAAGTAAAAGTGACTAACTAAATATAAAAAAATATATTGAATGAGAACATGGAAGTTTAAATGAGTGTAGATGCTACACCAATTTCCTACGGTAGAAAACTTAGCTACTCATGACTAAGAATTACACAAGAAAAGAGGGATCTTTGATTGACTCATGATTACAATAATGTTCTCACAAAAACTCTCTTTAATCTTTCTATAATTGTATTTTGAAAGTAAAATAATGGATACAAAAACTTTCTATAAATCTTATTTTTATAATATTTTTTATTGGATTTTAGGTTATACATGCTTGCTCAAAAATCCATGTGACTCACTCTGATTGAGTTTATGCTAGTTCTAGTGATATTTTCTATTCTGATTCATTTAGAGCATTTCGTTGTAGCTTTGAGCAAATTTCACTTACTATCAGAGTGCTCAAGTAGCTCACTTTAAACAAGTTGGTGTAAACCTTTTATGATTCAGAACAATTTTCTATGTAACTTGAAACTAGTTTTTTTTTTTAAATTTGTAACTTTCAAATTATTTCTCCATACGTCATCATTATATCATCAAGAAAAAATATTAAAAAAAATATTATTTGAATAATTAAATTCTAAAATTAAATTATCTTTTGATTAAATATTTCGTAGTAAAAACAAAATTTATAAATAAAAAATATATTGATAATCTAAATTGAATAAAATATATATGCATAATTTGACAATTGACAATTATCAGTTTGGTTAAATTGGTTTGAGTCTTTTGGACCATACACTCTCGATCTCTCATAGTGTTGTCCATACTCCATATTGGGCCTGCTGAAAATTTCAACGTACAGCTACAAAAACTTAAAACCAAAAACAGTTATACATACAAGCCCTTAAAAATCCTTGACTTTTTTTGGTAATTTCCCGCGAACTGTCAATAGAAAATAAGTATATTTCTATAATTCAATATTTTAATCATGACATAAACATTAATCTTGTCCTATCATCTAATGTTGTTTTATCTTATTTTGTTAAGAGCTGAGCTGACTCATGAGATAGTAGAAGATTTAACTGCTTTTTAGACCACTCCTAATTGCATCCACCTGTGTTTGTGATTGCATCCACATGTGTTTGTGTGTGATGAACAAAACAAAAACTCAGTAGTCACTAGTGTAATTAATGTCTTATTATAACTAAATTACCATTTACTAGACTAGGGATGTAAAAGTTAAACTCTTTTCATGATGGTGATATAATAAAAAAAATTGACACTGAAATCAAAATTAAAACTGTTCGGAAAGAACATTTTTCAGCTGCTTACTCAGTCACTCATTGCGTGTGAGTTATCAACTTGCTACATGTCCACTGGCCAATCATTTTTAACTTTTGAGTCATATATAAATACTTTATAATTTGAAATGACAATGAGTATTAACTGATAATTGATTTAGTGTCCCCAAGTGTGTACATTAAATGTACACAACAATATGTTGGACATCTCTACCAGCAGTTATTAATCCACTTTAGTATTTTGTTGTAAGTTGTAACTTTTACTTACTAACAATTGTTAATAGGTGATTATGGGGAATGGGGTTCATTTTTCTTGTGCTTGAAAATATTGGTCATGATTTAACTTAGGAATATAAATATTTAAAAGCAACAAGAATTGTAAGCAGCGTAATTTCTGGCCTATGTTTCCATCCAATTCATGAAATCAATAAATTGTAGAATTATACTAACATGTGCTGCTCTCTCTTAACTCATACGCAGACAGTTAGTTTAGGCAAATAGCCAAACTTTAGTACACACGTAATTGGTGTTAGAGAGATTGCCCACACAAACAGAGGAGTGGAGTTCTTTTCTTGTTAATAGCTGAATTTGTTGCATCATGAAAATCACATGATCAAACTACCAATATTCTGCCAATCGAAAACATACCATATAACTATAATATTAGCATTTATAGAGAGCTATAGATAGGTACATTGTCAGACATCTCTGTCATTGATCCTTATTATTGTTGTATTTTAAGAATTTCCAGTCAAATGTAACATGATCCTGCTTTCATCAAACATTTACTTTTCAGGTAATTGGACCTCAAGTAGTCTAGTTTTATAATATTCTCTTATATTTTTCATAGTCTACGTAAATTAATTGTAAAATTTTAAAGTTGTTTTGCTTGAGTTTATTGACATTTATACTGATTGACAACCCCTTATAGTGATTCACCAATCTCTCACAAGTCACAACCTACTTAGGAATCGATAAATAGTTAGGCAATTTAGTGATTATGCTTGTTTACGTTGCTTTAGATATCTTTCGTTCAGTAACTATTTGACAAAGTAAAATAGCATAAAAAGTTAGCTGTGGTCAATTTTAGAGCAAGATAAACATTTTGCTTCACACATTCCTTGTTTTTTATAATGAACATCCCACTGATGCTCACATGATATGCTCAAGGCCTACCGTAATTTCATGGCTACGATGAGTTGGAACTTGGAAGTTGCATTAACATTATAGTTCTAATATCAACAGTTACATCAACAAAGGTAGATCACAAGATATTTGCTTATAACGGTAACCCGCATTGATTTATAATGCTGCATTTACTTGATTCCTGGGACCTAACATGGAAAATGCTGCATATATCAATATGTGTGCCCATGCTCAATTGTTTTCCATATATATAATTTTATCTAGTAACACTTTTCCATGAAAACCGTCCACAAGGCCTAATTTAAGTTGAAGGTGGTGGTATCGCTGGATCGTGAGGGAAACATGAGGGGAAAGCCAGCTTTGGGAAAAACCATTTTGTTTCTATGCATTGCATGCTTTCTTGCCGGAACACTCTTCAGTGGCCAGATGTGGACACGCCCCTCCAACCATGAAAATACACTCCTACCACCTAGAAGCGATTGTGATCACAAGCGAGTGAGTATCTATAACTATTGTAATGCTTCCTTTCTTTATTCCAAAGGATATATATGTCAAAATTCAATTTCTAATCTTTCAAGCAGAAACTGATTGAAGGCAGACCTGGTGATGTAATGGAGGAAGTAGTAAAGACTCATCAAGCTATCAAGTAAGATATAAATCTTGCTCTCACTTTTAAGTTGTTTTGATATTATATTATCAATTGATCACACATTTTAGAACCGAAGTTAATTTGAACTAATTAATTCAATCCAACAAATCCATCAGTACTGAAAATTATTTCTCACTTATATATTTTATTTTGTGTTAATCTTTGATGGGCGTGTGTGTGACTGAAATTAAATAGGTCTCTGGATAAGGCAGTTTCAACATTGGAAATGGAGCTGACAGCAGCTCGCACAAGCCAAACTGGTGGGCAGCACTTGCGGCAACAGCCTTCTAACCACAGTTCAAAGAAAGCTTTTGTGGTGATTGGAATTAACACAGCGTTTAGCAGCAAAAGGAGAAGAGACTCCATACGTGAAACATGGTTACCTAAAGGTGCGCTGCATGTGACCTCTAATTATCAATCAAGAGACAACTAGTTTTGCAACAAAACTTACATGCAAGTACTATCGATACTGTTGTTTCATCATAATTGAAATTTTATATTAATAATATGGATAATAAATAAATTAGAGTTTCACCTTGACATAACGTATCTAAGTTTCTATTTGTAGAATATGACCAACGTATCTAAGTTTTGTAGAATATGACCAACGTATCTAAGTTTTGTCATAGTTTTCTAGTATTCCGAAGGACTCAAGGAGCGTATTTTATTTGTGAAAACAGGAAATCAGCTGAAGGAACTGGAGAAAGAGAAGGGGATTGTTGTAAGGTTCGTGATTGGGCACAGCACCACGCCAGGCGGAATTCTTGATAAAGCGATTGATGCAGAAGAGGCAGAACACAAGGACTTCCTCAGGTTAAATCACGTTGAGGGCTACCACGAGTTATCTACCAAAACTCGCCTCTACTTTTCCACTGTTATTTCTATGTGGGATGCTGATTTCTATGTCAAAGTCGACGATGATGTCCATTTAAATCTAGGTACTTGTTTTTGTTTTTTGAGGTTTAATTTTGCTTGCTTTATATGTCGTATGTATGTGTCATTTGTTTCTTTGTAATACAGGTATGCTAGCGAGTACACTTGCTAAGTACCGATCAAGACCCAGGGTTTATATTGGTTGCATGAAATCCGGTCCAGTTCTGTATCAAAAGTGAGCTTTCTCTCTTTTTCCATAAATTACTACTAGTAATTAACTAACGTGTCTCTGATTAATCTCTGCATGATATATAATGAAGTGTTACTAATTTTTTTCTTAAGTTAAAACTTCTAAATATATATCATGCAGAGATTGGTAGAAGACCATGAATATTTGGTTGTTTAGATCTATCTAATAATTTCTCATGTTTTTCCTTCCAAACATTAATTGTCATCGATTATTGTAGGGAAGTGCAGAATTATTTATGTGTAGTAGCCTCACTTTTGTTTTTTGTTTTTAAAATAAAGTAACCTCGTTTTAACTTGTGTGGCAGAGGAGTAAAGTATCATGAGGCTGAACACTGGAAATTTGGAGAGGAAGGAAACAAGTATTTTAGGCATGCCACTGGCCAATTATATGGCATCTCCAAGGATCTTGCTACTTATATATCTATCAATTGGTGACTTCATCATTCTTTCCCATTGTTCAATCATTTAATTGATAAATTTTTTAAGTAGAATTATACTCTCTTCTACCTGTGGCAAATCACTTGCAGCAATTAACTAATTATTCTTTAGTGATTAATGATTATATTAGCTTATGGGCATCACATGCAAAATTACATTGCAGGCCCATATTGCACAGATACGCAAATGAAGATGTATCTTTGGGCTCATGGTTATTGGGCCTAGAAGTTGAACATGTGGATGAACGGTCTATGTGTTGCGGGACCCCTCCAGGTACATTTTCCTTGGTGAAAGGTGAAAGATAAAAAAGGATATTGTATCCCCCAATATTGTGAGAAAGTGTGATTATAACAAAACGTAGAAAATGTAGATTTACTAGCAGTTAACCTGTGCGTACGCACGGGTTTACATATAATTTACATTTTAATTTTTTATTATTATAAGTAACAAATTATTTGTTGTAAATGAGATATAAAATAAAAATAAGCTACACTATCATTGAATGTAATTTGAAAATAAATATCATTAAAATAGTTTCATTTTTGTCTTGTCTGTATATACAGATTGTGATTGGAAGGCAAGGACAGGAAATGTGTGCGTGGCATCTTTTGATTGGTCATGCAGTGGTATATGTAAGTCTGTGGAGAGAATGAAAGATATACATAAAGCTTGTGGAGAGGGAGATGGAGCTGTTTGGAACGTTGACCTCTAATTCTCTAATTGAAACACAAAATCTTATAGCTTTACTAGTTTTGCATGAAGAGGAATTGAATGCCGTTTCCTTTTATTTAAATTTTTAATGAAATTTGTTAGTGTGTTCAAGAACAATATCTATAGTAAAAGACTTTTTTCATTAAAAAAATATAATAACCTTGGTTTTGTTTATCTTTTGAATTTCTAATATAATTTCCATTTCTATATTTTACAGATAATTATCTAACTAATTCTATAAAAATTATTTTGTCAATTTCGGCACTTGCAACAATTACAAAAATGTAAATACAATTCCCTCTATTATTAATAGCGATTGTTCAAGTCTAATTTTTTTTAAAAGTATAACCTAACCATTATAACTCTAATACTACTAGGTTATATATACATGTATATATTTGCATATTTGAATTCGGAGATTTTCATAGATAATTTTTGAAAATCTCAAAGTAATTTATTCAATATTTTGGTAAACAAATTACTTAAATATAGTGGCACAATAGGCCTCTTTAGGCCTACAAAATTGGTATGGAACTAATTTGCTTATTAGTATGTCAAATTGACCTTTCTTAATTGGTAGTCAAAAATGCTACTATAAGAGATTGAGTTCTCACTCAAGCGAGTTTGGTTTGCAGTCAAATGACTAGATAACTTTAGTTGATAATTAAAATAACATCTGAGCAATTATTAGAAACATATAGGATTAAAACTTTCTTCTTAATGAAGTCAATTAGAAATCAATCATCTAACTAATTTTGATTGGTGAACCCAATTGGAATTTGATCCGAAGAAACAAATACTTTGGTTATTATTTCATATATTAACTTTCTCTTATAATTTTGGAATACATAAAGTAGAATTTGTTAAATTTATTGATATTTATGCAACTTATTGAACTAGAGTGAACAATCCGAGTTGCCCTAATGATGATATGAAATAAATACATAAGTACTAAGTTTAACTGATTTCTATCTTTGTTATTATAACCTTTTTTATTGATCAAATTTGTTTGAAGTAGTAATAAACCACTATAATTATTCGTTAATGTTTAAACCCTTCATTAAAAAGAAAAAAATAACTTTCTCATTCTGAATTACACATATGACAAGTGTACAATTTTAAAAGTATATAAAAAATTTCACATATATATAAATTTCTCTCTCCCATGCATGTCTGAGAGAAAATTATTTGTGCATGTATAAGAAAGTGTGTACATATATTTTATTAAACTCACCAAATTGCGAATTCTATCCCATTACTATTTTTATTTTTATTTTAAAAGTTGAAATAAAATCCCGCATAACATCTCACGGGTCAAATTAGCTCATTTGGAACTCACTAATATTTCAAGTTGTGACTAAGAATTACATTGGGTCCTAAGTCATTTTTTTTTAAAGAGACTTAATGTCATATTAATTATCAATTTTTATGTTCTTTCTTTTGACTTTTTAAGCTAAAAAATCTTTTATCAATACTTCATAATTAAGTGATTCTAATATTTCATACTCTATTATTCAATTTGTCTTATATTTTTAATTTTAAAAAACTTTTTCCTACTGGCAGCAACTATACGATAGTATTTTTAAAAAACATCGCTTACATTTGGAAAATATAAGGAAATCTTAGGCATACAATCAATTAACACCACCATAATTGTATTATTTTTAATGGACAGTTGACAAACAATGGATTGGAAGATTACAATTAATGAAGTCTTCTAATCAAGTGAAACATAACAAACAATATATCTTAAATCAGTATAAAAATATATGTCCTCTTTATCCATTTTGAAATGGTTAGAGCCATCCAATTATCTCCAACCTTGCAATTAGATTGTTTAATTTCACTATAAGAAAGGGAAATCATTGTTTCCCATAGGCCCAGAAATCCATCCCTCCCCGTAATGAAAGTTGGTTGATCTGGTGTGGATTTGCCTCCTCAAACCTCACCCCTTTGTTTGACTCTTCATTTCCAAGTTGAGAGGTCACCAACCTATCAAGAACACCCCATTCGTTTATTCCTTCTCCTCTTCCGCCACCTATTTCTTGATTCGGTTCACACGACCCAACTTCCATTCCAGACTCCGAAACTTGATACCTTAGGCCCTCGCTACCGCTCTCACAGTCTCTAGGGTTTGTCATGAGTTGCTTTGCCATGATGGGGGTGTCCGAAGGTAGAGATGATGCGTATGAATAATCATAAACCATAGGTTTTTGAGCCTGAAGAAGAGGTTGGGATTGGAAGAGTGAGTATTGAGGGTTTTGATGATGCAAGTGTGGGTAGTGGAGAGCAAGTTCAGGCTTATCAAGCTCAAGCCCTGACGAGTTCCTAGGGTTTTGCTGTTGATGTAGTAGGTAATGGTTTTCTCTATGCATGAAGGACCGTGCATTGGTGCTTGAGGAATTGTTCATTTGTTGATCTGGATTATGTGTTGAGCCCCCACCTTCATTTCCAATCTTGAATAGATTCTTCTTCTTGAACACTCTGCACACCACCCAGCCATCTTCCTACAAATTCATTCATATGCATAAAAATCATAAGCAAAGGAAACATGATTATGCAGAAATTTCTTATTGATATGATTTTGGTGAAGGATGATTCAAAAAGAAAATTGATATATTATATTAAGGCGAGATGTTGAGAGATACGTACATTGGCATTTCCCTGAGGATCATTGCCTTCTTCTAGGCGATACTCATGCATGATCCAATCAGTCTTTTGTCCATGAGGAGCTCTGCCTTTGTAAAAGACAAGGGTTTTTCTCATTCCAATCTTCTTATAGCTATTCCTAATGCATTTATCTCTTCCCGTTGCTTTCCAAAACCCTGCATTTGTTGCTCTATTAGTCCTTGAACCTGTAGGGTACTTTCTATCCTTGTGACTGAAGAAATACCACTCATTTTGTGGAGTTGATCCAATTCTACATCTTTCTGTTTGAAATGAAAAAAATTAACTTTAGCAAACACCATAAATAATGATAATGAAAAATACATTATTCAATATTTGAGTTTGTTGGTCATTGATATGCATGGCTTCTCCTAAACAAGACATCATTTACAATGATATCAATATATCACATATCAGTGACATGTGCCTAAACGATAAAGTCGACAGAGAGATGATAAAAAGAAGAGAGAAGTGGGAGAGAATTGAACACTATTGAGAAGGACATTGGTACTGTATCCAACGAGATCCACTAATTAACGATCTCTATAATTGTGCAGATTAATACTTAATTATAAGATAATACTAGTAATTAGCTAGCGTAGTCTGAGCCCCTTGCTTGACTTATCAAACAGTATCCTTTTTGAGAGTTTTCAGATTTAATTTGAGGACAAAGGCATTCTTCCTCAGTAATAATAAAAGTTTTTTCTGTTTTCTTAATTGGTATGTATGTGGTACTTGAGTAACATTCTATGAAGAACAAATTAGAATGACGGTACTGCAAAAAACACAAGAAACAGAATGTGCGCTTATGCCATCAATTTTATTTCTTTATTCACTAAAAGAAATCAGAGTCGAATATAGTTGTAGTAATCAAGGTGATGAGATCTATTAATTGATATCTATCTTACACACAAAGCAAGCGACGACCGGTCTAAAGATAATCAAAATTTGACGTTGAGCTTTCTCATTCAGTTTTTTCTTATCCCCATATTATTATCTTATAATATTCTCATTTTTTTCTTATAATTCTTATATATCTCTTGCATAATTGTAGAAAATATTGTAAAAAATTAAGAAAAAATAGTGTTTCTGTATTTGATTAACTAGCCATGCCTTCTTTCTACTTTTTTATTTATTTATAAGCGTTCCTTCTTTCAACTTGATTAGAATAAATATATATCCCTTTGAAAAGAATTGCATACCATTCCTTCGCGTATCTGATAACAGAATTAAAATTCAATCACAAATTAAATTTTAATAGGTCATTATTCATAAGAACCCCCCGGCTCCAGACATCAAATTGATCAACTTCAAACTTTCACATGGTCCAGGAATATGACATATAAAGAAGCTAACATATTAATTCTTATAATTCAACTAGAACGCTGTTTCATACTCTTGCAGCTATTAAAGACTAAGAAATTTATACGTAACAAAATATATAACTTGTAAATGAAAAACAAGAACGAATAATTAGTTAAACAGGTCGACGTAGGATCAAATAAACCATATGAATTTTGTCATCTTGCTTGAAAATTGAAATTCATGCTTACGGGAGCATTAAAAGGATGATGCAGATCAGAAAACAACTAAAACTTGTCTTTTTCATAAAATTGGTATTATTAAGGATGTATAATATTTAGAGTAAAAATTAGCATGATCAAAATTGAGCATTCGTAGCAACTAAGATTTGCATGATGGTGAGAGATTCGAGTACATATATGTCTGTAAGTACTTAAGTTTAATTCTTGTTACTTTGGTTGTAAACTTTTCATCATTAAAAAAAAAATTGGGCATTTGAAACCAAGTAAATTTGGATACTAAACTGTATAAAGAATGGTAGTCGAATCATACAGAGACTAACATTTGCTTATCCAAAGTCATCCCAAATAAATACATATATATGTATACTGAAGCTTAAAGTTAGAAGATAAAAAGCAAGAGAAGCAAAGAGTAAATGAAGTAACATAAGAAAGAGGTAGTTCAATTTATAATTACCTTGCAAATCCCAAGGCTCCATCTTGTTCAAGTCGACCTCTCTAATAACATCCATGTCAAACTTCTGAAAGGACACCTTCTTCTTCAAGTAGTAATGAAGCAGCTCTTCGTCCGTTGGATGAAACCTAAATCCCGGCGGAACACCACCATTAGACGAACCCATCTTTCTTCAAATTCTCAATCACTAAACAAGTAGCTCTCTCTCTGAACAATTATATAACTATCTGAAGAACTAAGCAATCAATTCGTACGTGGTGTTGCAAGCATGGCACTTATATACCTTCTTGATTGTCAACGCCACCAATACACACTGTGACCACAGAAAGGGTTGACGGCCGGTGACTACGCCGACGGGAATGGTTAAAGCTACCTATCGTAAAAAACAAGTTTACGGAATGAATGTGACCAGTATGCATGATTGTTATTTTCTATTCTTATCTTTCATTTTTTTGGATATTTAGTTCAAGTTTTTCATAGGGTTCCCCACAAACGTACAGGGAGCGTAAGGTACACTCTCCTGTCCCTAGCTAGTAATTAACCTACATTAACAAAAAGAAAATATTCCTTTTTGTTTTGAATTAAGAGAAGAAAAGTCTATAATATAATTGAGCCAAGCTTGGGAAATTTTATTAAATTAAAAATTAACTAAAGGTAATCTATTTAGTAAAATGGAAGAAGCTTTAAAATTTGTTAAAATGAAATAGAGGGTGGGCGATAATGTTCGTGCTTATGCGTGAAGGTATATAACATTCTTTGCCCTAAGTTGAGGTCATCTTTGCTACTAATTAAATTACTGAAATATTGAAACTTGCATATCCTGCACTTGATAGTGATCCATACAAAGCTGTCCAAACTTCATTATTATGCTGATGCGAATCTGCCTTAATTAGGTATACAAATTGGGCATGCTTAATTTGTGGTTAAAGGTAGGGAATGATAATGTGAGTCAAATTTAAAACCCTAGCTTGTAATTTTGACTTTTTTCAAGTAGGGTTTGTGGTGTCAGTTAGCTTAAATAAAACCCAACCTTGATTAACTAGTTTTATAATAATTATCCATTTAGCGATCGAAATGGTTCACTGACATCATAACTCTGAATTAACAACTTTTTTAATCATGTGAAGAGAAATAACTACCGAAAAAATTCTACGTACGTGAGACTTCATCTTCCAATTGGAGAGAAATCAATCCTCCTGCCAGGTGAGATTCATAAGAAAGGCATATATATATTAAGAAAAGTTTTATGTAAATCGAAGAGAATACTCTTGTTAATATAATCAGCCAGTATTATTATGCTATTATGTTGAATAATACTATATATTCCACGCGCTTCTCAAAAGACTGTCGACTAACTTGCAATAAGAATCAGTTTGCTAGTTTTCTGGAAATATTTAAATCTGTAAATGATCCCGAGAATTGAAAACTAACATAATTTATAGGTTATTTGATTGTTCTTAAAGCAATGTTCGGAAAAATAGCTACTAAAGCTTCTTGGGATTTCCGCATTTCATTGGACGGCCGAAGTTTTATACTAATAAAATTCTTGTTGATAGACAATTTTTAATGTAAATTATTGGCAATCATATAAAGTTATAACAAAATTTGGGTTTAGTCTTAAATGTTCATAGAAACAGTTAGAGATGCAGTCGCCATAGCTGGGGCACGCACATGTGGGTATGACCTGAAGCGCATTCAGATTGCTTTACTTGATTCAATTGCACGCTTTCTTCCTGTACTTTTTGTGATTTATTATCCTTCCCAATGGAGCTTGCGATCTTGCGTATCAATCCTATATATGAGATATGTTTATAAAAGATATTTACGTAGGCTAACTTTCTATCACTGAGGCAACGAAAAAATCTAAAGCTAATTAGCTGCAAAATAACTAATTATATACATTCCTAACATGCGGTGATCTCATCTTCTACAGAGAAATGATTCGGTTAATTCATGGAAACATCTATTCTCAATTCTCAAAGTCCATTTGCATTCGTGCATGCATGTTTCTCCTGTAGACCGGATATTCATTAAAATTAATTGATGACATCTGTTCGCCATATATGTTGACTCAAATTTTGTGGAAAAAAATTGTATAATAAAAGCTTATATTACGAATTATAAGTTTCTTTAACCGACTTATAATTTCTATTTGGTAAGACGACTTACTTTAGAAATTTATCATTTATTTTCATAAGTTAATTGAAACGATTTAAAGTTTTTATTCTCTCTTTTTTTTTTATCCTAATTTTACTTGATTTTTTTTTATTTTTTTAAATTTAGATACTATTTTTCATACATCTTACTATTCTCTTACTCTCATTATTAAATAAATATATTATTTTACATTAATCCAATAGATTATTAGTTAATATTATCAAATATTTTTAATTCATATTTCACTAGCTTATTATAGGTTTTCAACCAACTTATAAATTTGTTTTACTAAACATTCCCTATATATTAGAGAATAAAATCTATATACAAATTATGTAAATGAATTTTATACCATTAAATAATTATAAATCGATCCTTATATATTAAATAATAATTGTTATGTGAGATTATTTTTAAGATTTTTTTAATGAAAAGTCTTTTTAGAAATTCTTTTAATTTTTTATTTAATTCAACTTTTATTTGTTATATTTGTTTATAAAATAAATTTTAATATTTTTAAAATAAATTACTCATATTAAAAATAATATTACATCACAATATAAAATATATTTTATATGTCTAAAAATATCTATTTATATATTTGAATATTATATTTATATGTATATATGATTTATTAGTCCATATACATTAGACACAAACGTCTTTTATGTAAAAATATTTTTAAAATTTTCTCTCTAAAAAGATGGTTTTTAGGGATTTTTCTAGTCTATTATATGTTTTTTATTTTATTTATCATATTTAATTATAAAATAAATTTTAGTAATTTGAAACCAATTAAATAAACATTTATATATTAAACATGACCAACCTTGCAAGAGTGGCACAATTGGTTATTAAGTCCATTTACTCTTAGTAGTTAGGATTGAGATCAAATTTAACTTCTCTTATATTTTGTCCTTTTATGCATGTAGATTTGTGCTCTAAATGAGATTAGTGGTCCATAATTTCATTGAAAACTCTCAAAGATATTGATGATAAGCTCTCCGTAACTCTAATAAACAAACTTAATACAAAAGTGATCGGAATATTTCTCATTTCACCATATAGATGTGGAAGACTGGACAGGAAGAATAATATTAAGGAGAAGGAAGCAAGGAAAATCTAATCTTTTTTTCATTCATTTAGCATTTGATAACTATCATATTTGTACATATTGTTGACAGTTGTTATAAGCTATATTTGTTCTGGAACGGAAAATAGACGAATTGTTTTGATCCTCGGGGCATCAAAGAAGAAACATTTGCCAGCAAAACACTTAAATCACTTAACTACATTTGTACCCCTAAACTGTTACTTTGTCACGAATTTTATTCTCAATTTTTTTCTTTTGCAGATTTTGTCTCCAAATGTGTTCAAATTGTCCATTAAATTATATATGGAATATTATATTTAATTGTATTTTTTGTGCCGAAACTTTTGTTTCGTCGAATTTTGCTCCAAATTAAACCTTCTGTCACACAATATATTTTCTAGTACTTAATCCAACGCATGTGTTACACAGGTGACAAACTGAATGTGTACTTTCAATATGAGAATCACTTGTCTTTACCATATGAACTTTACCATGCATGGCTTCTCTGTTTTGGACATGTGTTCAAAATTGGTGTGAACCCAAACCTGCCCTAGTCAATGGATCGTGTAAGGTTGTAATGTCTGAAGAAGATGGAACAAAAATGTTGCAATTTGGATGTTACAGATTACAACACAATTACGGACCGTCTGATCTTGTCGCTTACAATTCCTTAATTCATGGGCTTTGTGACTTTGGTACATGGAAAGAGGCTGCAACTCTATTGGCAACTTGTTGACATGGGGGATCATGCCAAATGCGCAAACTTTTAATAGATTTTGCAATGAGGGTATGATTTTTAGGGCTAAAAGCATAGTAGGTTTCATGCTTCATTTGGGGCTGGATCCATATCATTTCACCTATAATTCAATTATTAGTGTTCATTGTTTATAAAATCAAATTAAATACGCCATTAAAGTATTTTCACTTGATGATTCACAAGGGCTGCTTACCAGATGTCATAACTTATAATTCATTGATGTGTGGGTGGTGTAAATCTGAAAGCATAAATAAGGCTATCCATTTCTTGGGTGAAATGGTTAATAATATGGACTAATAAATCCTGATTTTACTTGGAGCACTCTTTTTTACAGAGCAACATTTCTATTCCACAACATACAAAAATAGTTCCGTAGTTTTAGCCAAGTGATTGATGAGTAACAAGTAACTGCGAAAGAATTGTTTTCTACAATGCACAAGCATGACCAACTTCCAAATCTCCAAACTCATGCCACTATATTGGATGGCCTATTAAGTGCCACTTTCAAGCCGAGGCAATATCATTGTTTAGGGAATTTGAGAAGATGAATTTCGACCTTGATATTGTAATTGACAATATTATGCTCGATGGAATGTGTAGTTTTGGAAAGCTAAGTGATGCACGAGAACTCTTTTCTTCTCAGCCTGCTAAAGGTGTGAAAATAAGTGTTGTAACTTATACTATAATGATAAATGGTCTATGTAAAGAACTATTGGATGATGCTGAAATCTGAATACTAGGGACAAATCCTTCACATTTATTGCAACTGTTATGTTCATGACAATTCTTCCTGTTCCTGTCACTGGGCCTGTTAATTTGGTCTTTGGTTTGATTTTTTATTCTCTTATATCGGCGCCTATTCTGTTTTCGATATAGTTACTTCTCGCTTAGGTTTTTAAATTAGTTGTCCTGAGACACAGAAAAACTAGCTGTGAACTTTTATTGTGGGGTTTTGAATATATCTTTGAATTTGCTCCCTTTCTCATAATTTCAGTCTTATTCTTATAAGAAATATATAATATTAATTAAATACCTATAATCACCCATCATACATAAATGTTAATAAAATATAAATTGTCTTTCGATGATTAAAATAACAATTTATTTTAAATATATTTAACTTTAATAATTCGCATCTATTTTAATTAATTTTAAATTGTTCTAAACACTTTTTGTAAGCTTTAAATATCTTAACATTAATATGTCGTTATAATATAATTATAAAATAATTGAATTGTTGTATAATTTCAAAATTACAGACAACATTTTAATTTAACATAAATTATATTTTTTTTAAAGTTTTTTAAGACTTAATTTTCATCTTTGTAAAATAACAAATTTTTATTCTGTAACAATTTTTCTTTACTTTTTATCTTTTTAAAATTTAAAATAATTATTTTTAATCATCAATATTATGTAATCATTTTACACTACTACTTGTTTGTTTATTAAAATGTCAAATGATCATTGCAAATGTTACTTAAAACTATTAATGATATGCATGTGATATTTTTTTAAAAAAATATTATAAGTTATGAAAATCAATATTATTCATATACTTTAAAATCATCTTTGAAATAAAAAATAATTTTAAATTATAGAGAGATAAAAAAAAATTAAAAATTATAAAAACTAAAATTAAAAATTACTTAATTTAAAATAATAAAAAGTAATTTATAAAGATTAAAACTAATATTTACAAATTTTAAGAGGATAAAAATAAAATTAAAAAAATTAGAAGAAGGACGAAAATTATAACTCACTCGTACGGTCATTAAGGATATATTTAAGTTGTGCACCGTAAATCTAAACCATTCATGTTATCCAATGGCCGGGAAAACTCTCCCACCGTGTTTCTTTAACTAGTAATAGGTTAAAGATAAGAAGTCTTCTCTCTGAATCAAGAACATTATGTATTTGTTTTCCTATTATTCCCTCTTGGTTAAATCTAGTATGAACTTGTGCAGCCCTACCCTAAACATTGGGATTAGGGCTTTTAGTGGCGTAACTGAAATAGAAAGCATGAGCTAAAGCCTGTACCCATTGATTCTTATTGGAAGCATGTTACTCAACGAATTCAAACGAGAGTTTCGTTGGAGGGATCAACATCTGTCTTCTCTCTCATCGATCTGCATTACATGCCATCAATTTCAATGCGATGCCTTGTGCGGCCTTCTCTCACTCACCACATGTATATTTCAATTCTTGTTACAATTCTAATTCTAACATTTACCAGATCCTTCATTGGTACATTATTCAACAAATTCTGCTTCGATTAATTTGCTTCGTTTATATTTAGATCTATATCTCTTCACCGCAGCATCATTCCCTGCATTTAGTGCTCGCGGTTCTTGACTGATACTGATACAGCAATGCTTTATTAATCGGTCTCTAGACTCTCTCTACTCAAGAAAGCATGCTCTACACGCTTGATTTGTGAAATTCATATTTAATATTGTCTTATTTGATTTTCTTTGTAGTCGAAAAGGATAGTAACTTATTCTCTTCTGTTAAGTTGGCAATCTTGCAAACAAATCTCAAGAGTTTCGTTGCAAGAATACTTGGAAAAGCCATTCTTAGCTGATTGCTTTGTGGTTTCTTATTGTTTTTTTGGGATGCTTATGTTGAACATATTTGCTCTTTGATGCATATCTCAGTGCTTAATGTAAAATATTTCATTAGATTCATTGCATCAATTTTACTTTACCCTTCCAATCCTGAAAGTTATGGGAATGGAGAGCAGGAATTGTTCTTGACAACAGAAAGCGGAGCTACATCCACTACATATTACATAATTTCATATGTTATTGATATGCTTATAAGTTTTGAGTGATGTCGTCTTGGCTATTGATTTAGGGGAAAACAAGTTGTATTAAATACAATAAGGCGTTTTCTGCGCTGTTTCATGTCATTGGCTGTACTTTGTTGTTTTTTGTAACGCTAACTGTTCTTCGACATATAAAATCCAAATAACATTTTTAGATGACTACTGTAGAACCTAATGGCTTTTTGTAATTGAATTTATATAGCTGTTTTTAGCAAAGTTGTTGTGGTAAATAGAGTCACTGTCAAAGCTGATATTGGCTGTCTAATTCATGTTTTGAACCTACGATCAGTTACTTTATTTCATCGGAAGGGAAAGATATCTGCTTCCTGTTCACCATGGTTGATTATTTCCTGTTTTATTCAAACATGTGTCTACTCATGTGTTATATCTACAAGGTTTAGAGAAAAGAAAATGATTAGATCGTTCTCCTTGACATCTGCTTACCTGAAGATGCAGAGATTCATAATAAAATCTCAGGGAAAATATGCTTGTTTTAAACCTTTTTCAAGCCTAATTATTTGGACATGCTAACATTTCTTTGTAATGAAGCTTGATTGCTGCTATTAATCATCACGATATATGTGTTTGTACTGAGTGATTACATTGGATAGGCCTTGGCTTAGACTGAGTTACGAAAATATTCTTCCATTATCTGTAGAACTGTCATACAAGTTCTCGATATAATACTCTTGTATGACCTTTTCACTCTCGAATATATTATTTTAATGCAGCAAATAAATCATGAATGGATCATGGTATCTTTTTTTGTTAATTTGGGATGTTGGAGATAATTTCTTATTAGAAACCCTTTTGGTGTGTCATCTTCAGGCCAATCCTCCCCCATTGCATTCTAACCTCAAATGCATCAAGTACAAAACCCATGGAAGCTAAACTCATCTCAGAAACTCCATGTTATTGCACAAATCTTGCGTTAGCAATAGCATTTATAGTTGACTTAAATGCTACATCCCTTTCCTTGGATGAAATCAAATATGAGAGAATGCAAGCAGTAGCTGAATTTTCAGCAAAGTAACACAACGAACAACGAAGGTGGGGGAGGCGAGTGCACTCCATGAAAGAAAATGTATGACAAACTTGAAACGGAAGGTTAGTTTGACTTTTCTCTGGAGCATTGGTCAAGAGATTCTCTCGTGTGAAAAAAAAAAAAAACAAACTGGAAACTCTCACGTATGAAGATTTCACCATTATTTTTCCAAAAAATTCCACTTTACAATAGAAATATATTTAAAAAAATTATTGAAGAGGTAGGATTTCATAGAATGAACATTCCCAAAGTATTGCTTGTTTGATCTACTACATGCTTTCCAGCCCTTGTAACTACTGTTTCTCTAGGTGTGCCACTTGAATCAAATTGCTTCCCATATCTGGATAGACAAGAACCGACAGTTGCCAAAGACGTGGACAGATGAAGTCTGTACAAATGCTCACTCGCACAAGCCTGGGTGAATCGGCTGCCTATAAAATTAAGAGGGCCACCCGTCATCATCAAATCAAAGTAACAGAAAATCTGCATGTTCAGTAGCGCCATTGAATTAAACAAAGTACCGATGAACAACCGACCACACCTAGATGAATGGTGTGAAATTGATCGTAGTATCATCTTAGAAGCAACTCAAGTAAGTAGGCTACCTAATTCTTCAATTTATTTGTGTAAATATTTGGACTTGTAAAATTCGTATCACTTTGCTATTGTTTCAGTTTAGTTTACAAGAATTTGATCAAGTTAACATAACTTGCATGCATTTGAAAACTAACCCTTTCTTTGGGTAGATAAAAGAGAAAAATAGAATAGAGAAAAGAAAATGAATAGAAAATAGATAATAATAATAATAATAATAAGTATTTAAATTGAAAAAAGTAAAAGTTGAAAGAAAAAAAAAATAGTCAATAACTTATTTGGTTTGATAGAAAAGTAAAAAAGAAAGAAAATAAAATTTCTTTTAAAGATATTTATCCTTAGTATTTGTATGTATAATATAATATTTTATAAAAGTGAAAAATAATATACCAAAAATAAATATGTTTTTAAATTATACATATATACTAAATAATATTTCTTCTATTTTTTTCTTTTAGATTTTCTTTTAAATTACATTTGAAGGTTATTTTTGTAGTTTTAGCATAATCGTCTCACTTTGTCAATTTTCCTTTCATGGAAGAGGCGATTTATTGTTTAGTTTCATTTCACTTGATGTTGCTTTCAATAATTGCAAGATAAATCGAAACAAAGCTGTCATTGTTGATTCATATTTTGGTTGAGCTCGATAAAAACCAAAGCAGTACTGACAAAAGAGCCCAAGCTCTCAAAAAACAGAGGCTTTCGAACAATCGCCTTTTTTTGCCCCGTTTGCTATTACATAAAATCCTAGCGAAAGGCAACTAAAAACTATACAGAAACATACAAAAGCTATACACTCAACGTACACCAAAATTCACAGCTATGTTACATGATACTGTTGCACAGTCCTTTGTTACTGCCTCGTCTCTGCAATATGTGTTCAATATACAGGTTTCTTTTGTTTCCTCACCAGATACTGGTAACTTTTTAGTCTCCTCACGGAACAAGTTGACACATCTCATACACACAAACTTAGAAGGCATGCCATCTGGATTATCAATTCCAGCGCATCTGGTATGCTGCCAAACGCCACAGGTATCGCATGCCAACATTTTCTCTCCATCGTCATCCTTGGCCCCACATGTGCAATCAACCTTCCACACCTCAGTTCCCCGTTCCATTCGGAATCGACTTAGCCCATGTTTTGCAGGGCATTTACCTTGAATTTGGATTGATCCACTTGTACCGAGCAAGAACTTTACGGTGAGCGAATCATTGATAGCCCCATATCCTAGGAGGTCCTCAGCTTGAAACCTCTTATACATTGCATACACCTCTTGAAAAGCACTAGTCGCCTCACTCTTGAGGTCACCAACGGTAGCGTTCAAAGGCAATACAATTAGCTCCGGTGGTGGGGATGGATCATCCTTAGGCTGATCAGAAAGTTCCACATGACACCACAGCCTAATGACTGAAGGCAGTTCAACGGCCATTTCATATGGCTTGTAATCCTTCATAAACTGCTTGCAGTCAAGGAGCTTCCTGGCCGAATCAGCCACCCTTTTCCTCATAATCTTTGGTCTGTAGTACACCATTTTTTCAGGGTGAATAATTGAATCAAATAAGAACGTCAAATCAGAGGTCATTTGTTCTTCTGTCGGATAGCTTAAATTTGCTCTTAATCCATTTCTGGGGGGTTCCAAACTGTTATCAAGGATATATATAACACAAGCGTTAATATATAAAAGTGTTAGTTACAGTAGTATTAGAAGCAATTGGCAAATGCCACATCTCCAGTCTTACCTGAATTCAATGGCACTGGAAATGGGATTGCATCGTGAACAGACTACCATTCCATTGGCAGCTAATTTCCCCGGCAAGTGCTTAAAACAATAGTCCAGAAGCTCTGGAGATGAAACACCCCGGCTTACTGCACCCTTGAGAGCACGCCGTGTCACCCATTTGGCCTCAGTATAGGCACCCGACGCAAGCAATACCTTGATCAGAGCATGTTGCACCTCTTCAACATCATTTCCCGTCCAAGCACACAACAAATTACTGGTGCAAGATGTCCTCGTGGATGTGGGCTTACGACATTCATGAATCAACGTCAGCAAAAAGGAAAAGAGATCTTTAATCGTTACAAGTTCAGTTTCTGCCAAAGAATGGTAAAGGGAAATGACACACTCCAGGCGGGTTCGTGGTCCCCGACCATGGAATGAAAAGGAGGACAAGGGCATGCTTGACAGGGTATTCACTGCATTCTTGTACGCATCTTGGGTAAGTGCATAGCTGCCAGATCCAAATTCATAACCCCAATTGCCATACCAGGAATGTCCGTTTGTAACTGCATGAAGCAATCGGTATTCCAGCCCAAATTTCTTGGACAAATCCATCACGCTAACCTTCCTACTCAATTATATAACACAATTAGCTTAAAAAAAAAACGGGGTCAAACTCATCCTGATGCAGAATGAGAGAGAGTTGAGTAATTCAGACCTAACAGAAATTGCAGCACACAGCCTATCCCAGAAATCCATGATATCAGATCCGGAGAGAAGCTTGGAGCCGCCTTCGCGTCCATTAAGAGTAAGCAGGTGACCATAACCATTGGAATGGACAACACCGTGCAGAAGATGCGTGTTATCTTCAATCTGAAGATACACCCAGTCCTCAAGGTCATCAACGGTGATGGCAAAGGTACAGGATCTACACCTGCTAACCCAAACAACTAAGTACTTTTGCATTCAAAAATCGATACGGGTAAAAGTTTCAATTGAAAAATTAAAAGAGCCGAATCCCATACCTTGTTTCAGATAATTGGACAAGATTTCCACATCGTGAACAAGGTCTTTGATATGCTTCAACGGCGTTACTTGCTGCCCTTATTATGAAATGGTATCGCTTTCTACACACCGGATGTCCACTCCAACCTTTGTTTTATTCCAACAAAAGGTCAACATTAGAACACAACCATGTATCCCACCAAAGATCACATAAAAATCTATTCACATGTTTTTTTTATATTGTCTATTTCACATGCTTAATATCCACCTCTTTTTCAGACTCACTTATATTAATATTAGTATTTATTATTTATTATTATTATGATAATAAGTAATAATATATATATATATATATATATATATATATATAAAAGGTAAAATACACTGTTGTTTTTATGCAGGCAAAAAAAAAAGGAGAAGATATTATAGTAAAGGTATTTGTTTAATTTTTATCCTTAACAATATGATTTATTTATTTATTTTATTTAAGTTAATTAGAATGGCATTGAGTGACAAATTGGGGCTCACCAACGACTCGGCACTGGTCACAGTAGACCGAAGTACGTGAACGTGTAACATCTTCTTCAACAATATCGAGAGTAACCATGGCAGGCGATAGATCAGGTCCTTCGACCAGGTCTCCAACACGGAACAAGATCTGCCATGTCATAAGAGACGGAAATAGTGAGGGGGGGAAAGTGATGCGTGCGTTGTCAGAGAGGAAACGCTGAACGCAGTTCCGGAAGGGCTCGCAGGAGGAAGCGTCCGCGGCTGCCGGAAAAGTGAGAAAATCGTAGAGATCGGCTGTGACCCTCCTCTTCATCCTCTTGGAGGGTCTCTCGTTGACCACCATGGTCTGTTCTACGGGTTTGGGAGAATAGATCTTATCTGGAGATGGAGAAGTGAGTGTGTAGGACAAAGTATAAGAGGAGACGACGGCGTTTGCCTTGTGTTGTGATTTTGGGGATGGAGTAGAAGGCGCTAGTTGCTAGGGTTTCTTTCTAGGTTTGTTTTTGCATATATCCACTTTTTTGAGGGCATCATTGTCATTTTCCTTTAGTCATGGCGGTTCACTTTCCCTCTCAGGTCTCAACTGCCTTTTTTATTCTACACCTTTTTCATTAATTTCTTTTTACTCTATTTCAACAAAATCAGTCTTTATTTTCTAAAATTAATATTTATAATAAATAAAATTGTATAAATTATATTTTAAGCTAATAATAAATAAATAAAATTATAATCTAAAGTTATTTTAAATAAATGGATAAAAAATTAAAAAATTAAATTAAATATACAGATAAAAGGGAATAGTTTACTATGATTAAAAATATTTTTTATCCATTACAAATCGGTCTCTATCCGTTTCCATAAATAATAGTTTTACATTGGAAAAACAAAATATCTAATAATATTAAATAAATAAAATTGTAATATAATAAAATTATATATATATATATATATTCTCTAAATTTGTCTATGCATGTCCTCGTCAAAAAAATTGAATTCAAGAATCAAAGTTTTATTAAAATATTAATTAATTTTTTTAAAAAATTTGATTATCTATCGAATATATCAAATCTTATTAGTAGTGGAGTGAGAAATTTATGGTTATAATAAAGTGACAAAATCATGTCCAATAATGCAATAAGTATATGTTTAAATAAATATAAAGATTTTTATTTTATTAATTAATTAAGAATTGAGTTAAGTAATATGATTATTAAAATATTTATTTTAAAATTTAATAAATTTATCTATACCTGTATATAAAGCAGATATATAAGTTTGTAACAATTTTTTATCTTCATATTTTTTAATTAATAACAAAAAGTAATAATAATCATTCGTAATCACTCAAATTTTCAAATTTTAAATTATTTATTTTATTTTATTTTTTCATGATATTAACATAAATATCTATAAGTTTGGTCAAAAATACTTATTTTATTACTTAATATTAATTATTTTTATATATATATATATATATATATATATATATATATATATATATATATATATTCATTCATTATTAAGGGTGTTCATAGATCGGGTTGATTCAAGTTTATGTATAAATTTAATTCAAATTAATTAAATTTAATTAGTTTAGATTAGTTGGAATTTCATAATTTTTTTGTTTAACATAAATCGAATCAATTTGATGTTGGTTTGATTTGGATCATTAAATATTCAATAAATTTTTTTAAAAATGATTTTTTTTTCAAAGTAAATAGATTTTTTAACATTTACTTAATTGATATATTATCAAAATTCAACTAAATCGATAGATTTGCAATATAGTCACAATTTTTTTTAATCTACTTTCAAATTTCAAATGCATTACAGTATATGAAAATGAAACTCAATATAGATTTTCTTGATTTGTTTAAGTGTTTGAAAAAAGGAATAAAAAATGCACATGTTATAACACAAAAACATCTTCAAAATAATATATACATATTAATTGTTGACTAAATAAAAAATAATAATATATAATTTTATTGATTTGATTCGAGTTTATTCATATTTTAAATGTGTAAAATCTGGGTTTAATTGATTTGATTTAGTTCAGATTGTTCGAATCGTTAGATTAATCTTATGAACAATCTTACCCACCATCATATCTCTTAAGAGTAAAATAAAGGAAAAAATATATAAAATAAAATTAATTATTCACTCTATTAGTAATAACTACCTCTTATTTTGTAACTACCTTAGGTCTCCAAATTTGTTTTAGATTATTTTGTTTTTTTAATTATATATTATATCACTTGATCTACATTTTGTAAACTCTATTATTTTATTTTTTTATGATATTTTTAAATAAAATACATAGAGTCACAAAGTGTCCCATCCAATTAATTATATAGAATTTTTATCATTTACTCTTATATTATTATTTAAAAATTAAAACTCACATTCTCTTTACTCTCTCAATGAAGTATTCCAAATATTTTATTTGCTCTTGTGCGAGACTTTTGTTTTTCATAACTAAAAATGAAAATTAGTCCAGCCTTAAATAGGGCTTATGACCTGGCTTACCTTAACCTGTTTAATAAAATTTTTAAGTTTAAACTCTTAAAAAAATATATTTATATAAAAAGGCCAGACTTAAATTTATACAAAAGTTAGTTAAGTTTGGTAGATCAATCTATTTATTTATATAATATATATATACACATATATTATTAAAAATATAAATAAACAAATAAATTTATAAAAGAAATAATAATATTTAAAATATTTTTCTATACAATTATTTTTTCTTTCATTATAGATTTATAAACTTATGATCTGTGCATGAATGTATATCGACATGTATGATTACATATTATTTTTTTTCAATAAAAAATGATTCACTTTTTCTCATATTTTTCCTTTAAAATTTAAATTTTAATAATATTGAGTAAACTATATTTTAAAAATTATTTTTTTAATTTTAAAAAATTAAATTTACTGATTTAATTAACATTAGTAATTTAAATAGACTGTTAAATAAATTATTAGGTAAAATCAAACTTATAAAAAAAAACCTATGATAAGTAATAAGTCAGATTTAAACTTTAATTTTGTAGAACAGACCTAACTTATATATCCAAGGTCTGGTCCAATCTATTCTTATCCCTATTGTTAACTACCTTTTAATTAGTAAAAAAAATACATCTCTCAATTATCTTTGACGATTACTTCATTTTTATTTAAATATTTGATTTTTATTATTTATCTATTTATTTTAATTTTAAAAAACTTTATATTATAATATAAATTAGTCATTGTTAAATATAATTCTATATTTAAAAATATTTAATATTATAATTTGTATGATTAAAATTAACTATATACAATATTATAAAATAATAATTAATTAGTTTAATTTTTTTGAAAAATAACTCAGAATTATTTCTTAAAAAATGAAAAAATAATTTATTTTTTTTGAAATCTAGATAAATATATCATTATTTTATTAAAAATCACAAATTCTGACAAAAACAGTTCAATATAAAAACTTATTACCAATAACTATTTTAAATTAAATTGTAAATATTGTGTCTGTAGTATGAAGTTGGATAAGAGAAGTATTTGAATTTGACAAGTATATCTATAAATATATTTATTTATTGATGGAAGGTGGGTATACACGTGTCTTGAATAAAATAAAAAATAATTTATCACAACTCCCAAGAAGTATGATGTGACTAGTCGAAAGGCGGTTGTCTTTGCGTTTTAGTTTTTATAGTTTCAACTTTCAGTGGCGCCTCTCAACAATTTAACAATTTTTTGAATTTTTATTTTCGCACTAAAATCCTTCTACTTTTTTTAGTTCTATACTCAAAAACTTAAATATAGTTTTTTTAAAGTATTTTAGAACTATTTTTTAATTAAAACTAATATTTTATATAATTAAGATTTATAATAAATAAATAATTTAATTTATAAACTATATTATATTTTAAACAAATATTTTTTACTGTATAAATTATATTTTATAGTCATGATAAATAATTTTGAATTTAATATAAAATTCTCACCGATAAATATTATGAACAAAGATGCTTTAAAAATCATTCTGCGATTAAAGTGTTTTTATTTATTTATTTTTTCTTCTTTTGAGAATGTTTTAATGATTATTTTTTATTCTTTTATATCTTTTAATTTATAAGTTTCTATTTTTAAAATAAAATTAATTTTATACCATAATATAAATTATTTATTATAAATTTAAGATATAATTTATATGATTAAAATATTTGTTATTTAAAATTTAATTATAATATAATTTATATATTTAAAATTATTTATTTTATATAAATTTTAGTCACATAAAATTATTTTTTCATATATATTGTGCGAGATTAGACTTATTTTTAAATTAAAATAAATAACTAATTAAGAAAATTCACATAAGAATAATAATTTTGAGATGATCGAAAGGAGATTTTTGACTAATTTTTAATTGAAAGAGTAAAAATTATACTAACATATTAAAAAATTGTATTAATAATCTGCGTTCTTTATTACAAGACTCTTAAAAAACACCTCAAACTTTATAATCAGAAGAAATGATAAGGTAATAACAAAATTCGTAATTTAATTTTAGTTATCTTTCAATATTTGATACATTTGCAAGAGGGATAAAAGGTTTTAAATTTTTTTTTAATATCTTTATTTGTGTTTTTAAATTTAAAATTATATATATTTTTTAAATTCATCACTTTCTCTTGCAAGAGTTACATCTCCTCTCTCCTCTATACATGATAAATGAATTACTGTCTATAAGTTCATAAGGATGTATAACTAATTAGAATAATAATGGTTATATTTATTCAATTTATTATGTCTTATATATCATTCATTAACTTCTTGTAGATATATACCAATAAAATATGACATATATACACTTAGGAATCGAAGTCCAGAGATGTTTGATTTAACTTAACTTCTATTTATAAAAATATATTTAGAAAAGTTGTGTAAATTAAGTTATTTAATAATAAATATTAATATAATTGATTGTTAATTTGGACGAATTTTTGTTTATATGTATTTGGTTGAAAAATGATTTAAAAATATATAATGTTGTTTAGACTTTAGATACAAAGAAAAACTAGCTTCTATGTTGTAAATTAGTTTTAGGAAGAAAACAAATAGTTTAAAAGAATCATAAATTTCATATTCCATATTCATAAAAATAGTTTATTTTTCAGAAGAAAAAATATATGTTTACAAATTTCAGTTATTATCTTATACGTATAGTTTTTTTTTTAAATAGTTTGTTTTCCTTCTAAAATCAACTTAAATGACGAGAATCTAATTAGGTAGATAAAATATATAAAGCTTTTGCACATTAATAACAATAGATTATCAAAAAGAAAACGCAATAAATAAATAATAATAACATGTAGATTTAGAGTGAATTTGGAAAGGTAAAAAAAAGTATATTATTTCAATAATTTTATATATATATATATATATAT